ATAGTTTTATCTGTATGAATATGTGATCATTAGCTTATATGTGCTCCTAGTGGCTCATGAAATCTTTTAAAAGTTATTTAGCATGAATTTTAACAAAATGTCCCTTTAAAATTATTTCAAACATTATATGTGCATAATTTTCCATACATGGTGCAAGTGCATGTACTAACCCATTTCCATTATATTTCTATAACAATGTAGGTTTGGGTCGTTGGTGTTAGAAGGCCATTTGCAAAACTACTTGTATTTTGCCAATTCTGTTGTAGGTCCTCACCATCCCATTATCATACCACTATCTAGCTACTTGATGTTGTTATTGTCTATAGACATTTAGTTTCCTTCTCCTTCATTTGAAGACTATTATTGTATAACCCTATATGTGGCTTTTGTTGTAATAAAGTATGAGCAATGCTCGAATGTTCTACTCATTGAAGATGATTTAGATTTGAGATGATGTATTAGACTAATTCTTATATGTCAGAGTGGGTCCTATCACTTGGGAGGTTTTTAGAAGGTCTTTCCTTGGTCGTTTCTTTCCTACGGAGAAAAGGGAGGAAAAACTAAAAGATTCATCTACCTTTGTCAAGGAGGTATGAGTGTACCAGAGTACTCCTTAAAGTTCACTGAATTTTCCAAGTATGCTTCTTCTTTGTTTTCTAACCTGAAGGACGAGATGAGTCACTTTGTGATGGGAATGTCCGATGACTTAGTTGAATAGTATGGTTTGGGGATTCTACATTACAATATGGATATCTATCGGTTGATGGTTCATTCTCAGAAAGTTGAGGAAACTAGACTCAAGAGAAAAAATAGGGAAGAAGTAGAAATTCACCAAGTGACAAACTTACTTGTGCAAAGAGTGGTAAGAAGCATAGGGGTGAATCTTAGTAGGAAAGTGAAATTGGTTTTCTTGTGGAAATGGACATAAGGTTAGGGATTGCACTAATGTGAGGATTCAAGAGAAGGGAAGTTGTCTAGCTCAAGCAAGTTGTACTAGTTTTAATGCTCCAAAGAGAAACCATTTCTATGCTCTCCGTTCTAGAGGTGAACAAGAAGAGTCCCCCGATGTGGTCACCGGGATGTACAAGTCTTCTCTACTAATTTTAATGATTTACTTGATTCCGATGCTAAATTATAATTTTTTACTCCTCTACTATCTAAATATTTTGATATTTTACTCGATGTTTTGATTGAACCATTCTCGGTTACAACCCTAGCGAGTGACTCTATTGTGGCTATAAGTGTCTTTCGGACTTATCTTATATCATTCCTTATAGAGTTACATGGAAGATTTGGTAGCGCTAGATATGGTGATTTTGATTTCATTTTTGCAATGGATTGGTTGCATACTTGTTTTGCTTCCATAGAATGTTTAACAAGAGTGATTAAGTTCAATTTTCATAATGAACCAATCATAGAGTGCAAGGGGGGTTATTCAATTCATAGCGGTCGTATCATTTATTGTCTAAAATCTTGTAAGGTTATTTATGAAGGGTGTCTTTACAATTTAGTAAGAGCCAAAACCTTAAGTATGACATTGCTCCAATGGAGTCGGTCCTTATAGTGAAGGACTTTCTGGAAGTCTTTCACAATTACTTTCACGAAATTTCACCCGAGTGGAAAATAGACTTTGATATTGACTTGCTCCCGGATACGAATCATTAGACAAGGGTATCATTCAACCTAGCATTTCACCATTGGGTGTTGTGTCATTGTTTGTTACGAAGAAGGATGGGTCCCTTAGGATGTGAATTGACAATCGTCAACTTAATCAGGTCACCGTTAAGAACAAATATCTTCTCCCTCATATTGACGACTTAGTTAATCAACTCCAAGGATCAAGCTACTTTTCTAAGATCGAATTGTGGTTGGGTATCACTAACTTAGGGTAAGAGGGGGGAAGTACCTAAAATGGAATTTCGAACAACGTATGGTGACTATGAGTTCCTAGTAATGTCCTTTCTCTCACGAATGCCCCGGGCGGCTTTAATGGACCTTATCAATAGGGTGTTCTGAAATTACCTAGATTCCTTTGTGATTGTCTTCATCAATAATACCTTGATATTTTCGAAGAATGAGGGGGAACACATGGGCCATTTGAGAGTGGTGTTGTAATTCCTTAGGAAGCACAAACTATTTGCAAAGTATAGAAAGTGTGAGTTTTGGTTGATATTTGTGGCATTTCTTGGTCATATTATCTCAAGCAAGGGTAAAGAGGTCGATCCAAGGAAAATTAAGGCAATTAAGATTTTGACTACACCATTGACTCCAATCGATAGTAGAACTTTTTTGGATTTAGCTGGGTACTATAGGAGGTTTGTGTATGAATTTGCGTCCATTGCTTCTCCTTTAACTACCTTGACCCAAAAGAGTGTAAAATTTGAGTGGTAAGAGATATGTGAAAGAAGCTTCCAGATTTTGAAAGATAGGCTTACCTCCGTCCAGTATTGACTTTATGTAGTATACCAAGGGTTTTGTGGTCTATTATGATGTACCTAGAGTGGGTTTGGGTTGTGTCCTTGTGAAACATGAGAAGGTAGTAGACTATTCCTCTAGACAACTCAAGGTGCATGAGAAGATCTATCAAGCTCATGATCTTGAATTGGCGGCCGTGGTGTTTGCTTTAAAAATATGGAGGTATTATGGTGTTCATGTGGATATGTATATCAACGATAAGAGTCGTCAATGTGAGTTCACTCAAAAGGAGTTAAATATCCAACAAAGAAGATGGTTTGAATTATTGAAAGAATATGATATGTGTGTTCCATACCACCTTGACAAGGCCAATGTGGTTGTGGATGATCTAAGTTATGACCATGGGTAGTGTCTCTCATGTAAAATAAGCAAAGAACGACCTAGTGAAAGATATCCATAGGTTGGCTAGATTGGGTGTTTTGTTAAAAGATTCCCCAAATAGTGGTTTATAGTTTATAATAACTGTGAGTCATCTTTAGTGGTTGAGGTAAGTTCTAAACAACATCTTGATCCCCTATTGATGAAGTTGATGAAATCGGTACTCAACAAGTTCAGTGAGTCATTCTCCATAGAGGATGGTGTGCTAAGGTACCGAGTTAGATTATGTGTACCGGATGTTGATGATTTGAGGGGAAATATTTACAAAGAAGATTCATCCGGGTTCCACAAAAATGTATTTTGACCTAAGAGATGTTTATTGGTTGGACTGCTTTAAAATGGACATAGCGCAGTTTGTATCGAAGTGTCCAAATTTCCAAAAATTCAAAGACGAGCATTTAAATCTTAGTGGGATAATCCAAGACATGGGTGTTCCTACTTGGAAGTGGGAAGAAATTAATATGGACTTTTTTGTTGGGTTGCCTTGAACTCGGAGGCAAAATTACTCATTTTGGGTATAGTAAATAGATTGACAAACTCATCTCACTTTATCCTCGTCAATTTTAGTTATTTGGCAGAGGATTATGCAAGGATCTACATAGATGAGATTGTGAGCCTTCATCGTATCTTTTTGTCCATCATATAGGATAGAGGTGCACAATTCACATTTCATTTTTGGAGATCTTTCCAAAAAGGGTTGGGTACACAAGTGAAGCTTAGCACCTATTTTCATCCCCAAATAGATGGTTAAGAGGAGCGTACTATTCAAACCCTAGAAGGCATGGTAGGACCTTCTGTGATATATTTGAAAGGGAATTGGGACAATCACCTACCGTTGATTGAGTTCTCCTATAATAGTTGCTACCATTCGAGTATTTCCATGGAAACTTTTGAAGCACTCTAATGTAGGAGATGTAGGACTCCAGTTGTGTGGTTAGAGGTGGGTGAATCTTCACTCCTTGGTCCCAAAATAATCTATGACGCTTTGCAAAAGGTTCGAGTGATACGGGATTGGTTGAAAACAGGCTATACTCGGAAAAAATCATATGCCAACAATAGAAGAAGAGATCATGAACTATAAGTAGGTAATATGGTGTTTATGAAGATTTCACCTATGAAAGGGGTGATGAGATTGCACAAAAAGGGGAAGTTAAGTCGTCGTTATGTGGGCCCCTATGAAGTTTTTGCAACGGGTTGGAAAGTTTACATGTGAGTTTACACAAACTAGTGAATTAACTTCGGTTCATCCGGTAATTCATGTCTCCATGCTTAAGAAGTGTATTCGTGATCTCGTATTCATTCTCCTTATTGAATTATTAGGTGTGGATGAGTCTTTTCGATGAAGAGGTTATGGTGCAAATTATAGATCTCCAAGTCAAGAAGTTGAAGAACAAAGAGATGGCCTTCGTAAACGTCTTATGCATAAACCACCTAGTTGAGCGAGCAATATGGGAGGCCGAGGCCGACATGAAGTGCCGTTATCATCATCTTTTTCCTACTTAAGTTTATTCATTCCTATAAATAATGAAAATAATAAATAAATTGAATTTGGCTTGTTTTTGTAAAATATGCATATCTATGGTAGAGGTTCATACTAAAATGTGTTTTCATGTTAAAATTATTTTTGGCTTAATTTTCACTTGAATTATGTTTTATGTATTGTCGCACTCGTGAGATGGTGTTGAGCATGTTTATCTGTTGAATTTTTTTCCTTGGCATAAGTGACTCGATGATCATGGTGAGGTCATGTTGACATTGAGAAGGAAATTCCTCATGTGATGAAGTTGAGGTCTTATATGTTGTAAATAGTTTTTTGAGTTTCTGTATGTAAATGTCATGTTAATATGTTGATTTGAGTTCACTATACCATTTTAGGACTAAGGTCACACTTAATCTTGACATCACTTGTAAAGTGTTTCCTAATATATTTTTGTGTACGCTTTTAAAATGTCAAGCATGATCTTTAGAGATATATGCTATACTTATAAGCGTTGTCATATCATGATACAATCGGTAATACTTATTTATACATATGACTACACTTTTAAAGTGTGCTATTCTTATAATTCTTAAAACAACACTTTACAAGTGTTGATAATAGTTTTTTTCTAAAATTATATATTCCCTCAAATATATTTGACAATACCTTCAATTACTAATTGTCCAAAAAAAAGAATTCATAAAAACTCGTACCTTTTTCCCCAAATCAAAATAGGAGATGCTCAACAAATTCACTTAGACAAAAAAACCCTATTTCCTTCTCCTTCAAATTTCATCTGATAAATTCTCAACTGTAACTTTATCTGGTTCTTCTTTTTACAGGCCTTATTGTTACTATACGTTTCTCTGTTGTTCTTCTACGCCTTTCTTTGCGAAATTGCATAAACAGTTGAGAGACTTTTGACATTGTTTGGATGAGATAACGGAACTGGCTATGGGTTGTTTTCCGTCGCAACTATGTCCTAAACTCGGGGCATGTATATTCTTCATTGGCCGCAATTCTCTATCCAAATATAACATCACTCGCTGCTCTCTGCTCGATATAGAATCATAGGTATGACTATTTTTCGATCTGCTTACTTTTGAAACTATCTACTGTATATTTTGTTTTTTTGTGGACCAAAAATTACTTAATTTCATTAATAGTGTTACTTGTTAGCTTGCCTCTCCCTCAAGAGTGTAGTATTTTATTGGCATTAATATTGTCTATTTGGTGAAATCAAGTTTGTAAGGAGAGTGGAAATTATTCCTTGTTTAGAGTGTATCGAGTGAATTTCTCTGTAATATAATAAATCTTGGACTGTGGAGAGACGACAAAAATAAGCTAGAACATGACCATGCCTAGAGCTCTGTTAAGTTTCTCTTGTATATGACAAATAGTGAACTCCTATAGTTCTTATTCTTTTTAGATGATTTGAATGACAAATTTGTTCATTTTAGACAACACTTCAAGTAAATTAAGTAAAGGAAAATATCATAAAATGGAAAACTAAAGAGATTTTAACATGTTTTGAGCATTTATTTATCTTAAAATATGCAAATTGATTAATTTACTATACGAATGAGTACATATAAGACATTATGCACTTACAAAGCGTTTTGAAATCTATGAGAAAATGGTCTCAGATCAGGTACAAATGAATGAAGCAACCCTCAAATCTGTTACAAGATTGACAATGGCAGTAAGGAATGGTTATATGGCATTTAATGTTGTATAACAAATAAAACAAGATGGAGTAACCCCAAATTACGGTCGTATGGTCCTGCCTTATCTGTATTCTGCAATAAGGGGGATGCCGACAAGGCATTTATATTTAACAACACATGTTGGAGAATGGTAGCTATTCAGAGGAACTTGAGCTGGAGGCACTTTAAAAAGTAAGTTTAGAAACTGGTAGGTGTGAAAATGTGTACTATTTGTTGCATAAGTTTGGAGAAGGAGTTCGACAAGTCGCACCATCTATTGCAGATTTGATTGACAAGTAATTCAACAAGAAGGTAGTTTCAAGGGTGGAAAAAATCAAATGGGATGTAAGATCCATACGTAAAGCTATTAAAAAGGGAGGTTGTGCCTGCAATGGACAAAGCTGGTTGGTTGATGGAAAATGGACTGTATCAAGTGCAATCGTTGGCCTTGATGGCTGCTGCAAATGCTTTGCTGAGAAGTTTGTGACCATTGATCTTAATCCTGAAGAACCTGAAATATTTCCTAAGTCAGTTGCTTCTATAACTGTGCAGAGAGTGAAAGAAATTCAAGCTTCCAAAAATTTAAAGTACGTTTTACTAACTTCTATGATGATTAGTTAGTAGTTGTTCTTGGATCATTAGGGTCTCTTCTGAGGGTGAATCATATTTTGATTACTGCAGAGATGCTTAATTAATATGGACCATTTGATGTTGTTATTGATGGTGCAAATGTTGGTCTTTACAGACAAACATAGTTCAGGCCATAAGGTAAAGTATTGGGTGCCTCGTTTATGAAATATGATATTTTTCAAAAGTTTAGGTCTTTTGCTTTCTCTAGTAGATAATTAATTTCAGGTCAATGTTGTTGTCAATGGAATTTGTCAGATCTTTCCTTCAAAAAGATGGCCAACTAATAGTTTTGAATAATAAACGTATTTACTGGTGATAAGATGGGTGAACCATTAAATCTGTTGTTAGTTGAGAAGTGGAAAGAGGTAGATGCGGTATATGCAACACCTACTGGGTCAAATGATGATTGGTGATACCTATAATCATTTATTTCAAGGTTGTTTTTTGGTGCAGATGCTTAATGCCTTGCATTTACTTATTTTTGTCATTTGTCCCAGTGGGAAATGAACTTGTTTCCTCATGTAGTGGCTGCATGCAGTAATGAAATATTCGGTGCTTGCTTGTGACCTATGATGAGATGAGGGACGATTTGATTCAACTTCTGGAAAATGAATTTTTCCCAAAATGGAAGGAAAGGAATCAGGTTATTTCTACAGTTCAGGAATAGCTGCATGAAATATTGAATTTCTTTTTCCGATATGCATGTAACAAGATAGTCATGCATAGGATTTTGAGTAGATTATGGAATTAATTAACTATTGAGAATCGCATTCCTCTTGATTTATTGATGCTATATTGAATCGATACAGAGGTTACACCTGGGGAAGAAGAATTATCTGGGGTCGGGAAGTTGGTTATGGGTATTGAATTATGTCTAAGCAGAATAAAGTTCTCGAGACATATGGCCTACAATTGACTGGTTGTCTAACGTACCTTCTCTAGCCATCATAACTATTTCTTCCTCATATGACTTTGTAATCTCTCCGTAAAACAAAGTTATCCCTCTTTCTTCACTTACCTTGCTAAGGGCTACCTCTATCTCCTCAAGCATAGGCATTAATATCATATAAAACTTGAATTTCTCACAGTTATTTGACAATTTTTTCCCTCTCTTTATGGAAGGTGAATTTTAGTTCTGAAACAAGTCCAATGTTTCACATGCCGCCTCAATGTTCTATTATAATTCAATTGAGTAACACCTTCTTATTGATATGCTCTGCTATATAACAGATAATTTTCTCATGAAGCCAAAATACAAATATAGTTCAGCCCGTATTATCTACCTTCAAATAAAAAATGTATACTTGAGATTGAGCACATATTAAAAAAAGGGTGTTTGTGTTTTCATTTAAAAAAAACTTTAATTGTAGTTTTGTTTCTTTATGTCTCCAGGATTCAGAAGGATACTCACATGTACCTATTGCTTTAGAACATGAATCTGAAGTGGAAATGACATGGTTATGCATCACACGTGCAAATTAACCTATGGAAATCGAGATTGTCGAGTGTAAACATATGTAAGTGCTTTTTTACCAAGAAATGGTAAACTAAAATAAGAAAATAGTCTTTTGTGAAATTCTACACAGTGATTTACCTGAGTGTTAAATTTGGCTAAAATATCCTCCAAAACATCCCTTATACTGGCACTTCTCAAATGTAGGACTAAAAAAATCGGTTTTATGTAGTCCTTTATTAAATGGTATCCATTAATGCAATTCCTGGTACTTCTTGCTCCTGCAATTTACATAAAAATCCCAATTGTAAGTAACCAAATTATGTGATTTTTCTATACGAACTTTTCTTTTTTCAAACGCGAGAGCCATTCTTTTTAGGAGTATACTGAGTCATTCGTCTTTTCAATGGAGATACGTCAATAAAATTCTTCCTGTTTGTTGTCTAAAAGAAAATATTTAACTCATCATTCTTCACTGATCTTCTTAGCTTTCTATGTGGCATTTCAGGGTTCCAGGATAACGAATTATAGAAAAGGACGTAAGTTCCTTGCAGTATTCAACAACGAGGTACACAAAAACTGTAAATACAAGAAAACACTATCAAGCTTTGAAAACATAGTACTTATTCTGGTGAGTGTAGAATATAGTCCTTTTCTTTGCAAAACATTGATTTTCAGCTTTTACTCTTTATAAGTTATCCTCTTGTTGTTTTCATCAATTAAAAAAAGATGAAATTTTGCTACCATAATCTCATTATTATTCATCAGCTGAAAATTAATTTACAACAAATAGAATATGAAGCCAGATGCTTGTTCTGTATGATTTGCATAAATTGATTGGGTCATCCGGCTCACACTGAATACTCTCAAATTATGCACTTCAACAACTTTATGTTATCAATTGCTTTGGCTTACTGTGAATTTAAACATCTTAAATACATGATTTATGTCACTAACTTATAATTTTATTTTGAATGTACTGAAAAATTCCGGAAATTAAACTTGAATTATGGCTAGAAGTAAACTCAATCTATTATAGTGAACGATGAAGTATTTTTTGTAATATTGTCATATATGTTTGAATGCATTTGGTTTTGTGAAATTTATTGATAGTAGAGATAAGTAAGCAATCACTTTCTAAGTATTGGTTATACAAAAAATATGTAGCTTCAATTTAATTATTATTTAATTTTGTGCTTTAGGTCATTTGTATATTTAATTATGTGACCATTGAATATATGCAAATAAAAATTATCATATTTAAAAATAAAAAATTGTCGATAAATAATTCTTCATAACATAGCCACACTTCAAAAATGTTGTAGGACGTCAAAGAAAAGTTACACTTTATAAGTGTTGTAGATGAGATATAAAAGCCAAAACAAGTGTGACCAATAACAAAGCAAAGACAACACTTTTAAGTGTAGTATAATAAAAAAAGGTGTTTCTAATGAATTCATACAAAGCGTGCCCTTATACCTCTGTGTCTACACATTATAAATGTAGCCGTGATGGCGACATTTAAAAAGTGTTTCCAAATGTCAATGGTTACACTTCATTAAGTCACCCCCGAAAAAGCGTTGTCTAAAGTCAAAAAGTGTAGCCTTTTCTAAAAGGCCACACTTTTTGCTAGTTTAGGCTACACTTTACCGGGGTAGCCATAGGCCTTAAATGGTGTAGGGGTTGTAACTCATATGTAATACGTTTTAGTTGGTTGGACTGCTAGTCGTCCCAAGTCATTCACTCCCTATTATAAGATTTTTGTGTCATTCAGAGACTAATGTTCCTAAGGGGGGGAATAATGTAACACTCCGGAAGTCCAAGACCTAGTCTAGAGCCACACATGAAGAGCTAAGACATGAAACACTATTTTAAGGCTAAATATATGTATTTGAAAAATGTAGGAAGGGTTAGAGTCAAAACGTCAAGAAGCATTCATGACGTCCGATGAATTGTGAAATGTGTACTCGTGTGCCTTGGCATGTTTAAAAGGGTTTTAAGAATCTTAATTCAATGAAAATTGGTAGAACGGTGTTAAAACAATATTAGAGTGTGTTTAAGGTCGCAGTCTTTGGGTACGGCTCCCCAACGACCACCATAAGTGTCCTGAGGGAGACACTTCCAAATTGTCCGAAAAGTTGTTTTTGACAGTTGCTACAAATGAAACCAATCCACAAGTCGTCATCTGATTGACGAGGCATCGATGGAGTTGCAAGTCCAGCCTTAAAAAATCTCCAAAGTTGTCAAAAAGACCACTTTCTGTTGAAAACGGTTGTTGTAGAGGATGGTGTCATCGTTGTATCTACGGACTGTAGGTCGAGGTCTCGTAGGTTAAGGCCTGTTTTGACTGCCTAGTTTTAAGTTAAGTCAATTAATTAATTACATGGGTTGTTTGTTAATTGAGGGTCAAGGGGTGACTAATTAACATGATTAAGGGACTATATAAATACCAAACCCACATTAAATTGACCTAACACTCTTCAATTCTCAAACACAAATCTCTCTACCTTCTTTCTACTTTCTCTCTCTATTTCTCCAAGACTCCATTGAAATCAATGCAAGATCACTAGATATCCAAGATTCAACTTTCTCTCCATCAATCGTAAATAATAGCTAAGACATGGGAACTCTTCACCTTTGGGACTCCTTTTCCCAAAGGGTTCTTTCAAATTTAATTTCCTAAAGTTGAGAAAGTATGGTTTCTTTCTTAATGAGAAATACTTCTTTCAAATTATATTGTTCTTTGTTTGTTTTCATTATTATGGATTTATTATGATTGACCATTGGTTAATTAGGGTAGTTCTTGATGTTATACCTAGTTCTATGGAAGAAATCATGAATTGACCATATTTCCCCTAACCATAGGTTATGAATTTGATGTGAATTGGATAGTGATGATATTATTGACTTATTTCTTGTGTTAATTACTATTATATGATTTTAATAAGAACATTTATGGATAAATATGGTTATTATTGTAGTAAGGCCATTGAAGAGGACTTTTGAAGGTGAATTGGTAAGACTTTGTGATCTTGATTCCTTACTTTAATTGTGATGGCTTATACTTGATGATGTGGTGCAACTGAAGTATATCATGTGATTAGAATAACAAAGGTATGATGTGATGAATATGTATATGATGGCATGATATGATTATGCGGAATCTGAGATCATATTGAGGCTATGTTAATACAAGTTTGAAGATGATTTCTCTTGTGTTTCTTAGTTGATAAGATGGATATATGTTGATCTCACCAATGATGGTTGTGTGATGAAAGGAAGTTCTCATCTTACACCGAATGAGCTAAATGATATGCTATACAATGGGGTTAGTCTCCTATGACCTAAATTAAGCTATGATCATTAAAGATTGACTTAATGGCATTTCAGAAAGGATCTTTAGCGTAGCACCGAGTGAACTTGACAATGAGAGGTGTTGACTCCCTATAGAAGGGAGATTCACCAAACATTCTCATGAGATGAGAGCTCCAATTGATAATAGTCATATAGAGGATTCAAGATATATCTTCTACTTCCTTAACTATGTTGCCTCTGTAGGAAGACTACCTAGTGGATCCACCTAGAATGATATGTTCATGTTTCGGTCCTACCTTGGCAAGTAGACCACATTCTTTCAGTTTATGATTTCCTGACACCAGATAACATGTTTAGGTCAAAGTCCTATTGTATGTTATTGATAATGTTCCCGAAGGTAAAATGAATGTATTAAAGTGAACTCGAACTAGGATGACTTTAGGAGTTCTTCTTAGTGTAGGTAGGGGTATTGGAGTCTATCTATGCATTGCACTAGTTGGCATTGAGAGAAGTCCTTAGAGGATGTTCTTATGATCTTATGACCTTAATGTTATGCATATATTGGATTTACATGTTGATGATCCTATATGATGTTGGTTTCACTTATTAACATGTCATTGGTCTATATTGCTATCTATGATGACGACTACTCATGAGGCTATGTTAAGTGAAGTTAGGAATTACTTATGATCTCTTTCCCTGTATGCTTGATTATGTTGGGTTATGGAACTTCACATGAGCATTGCACTTGTATGCTTTTGATAAGGTTGTTGGTAAAGGCCTTATAAGATATGATGATATTAATTCTTAAATATTCTTAGTTATTATGACATTTTGTTTGAGTTACTTTAGTCATATGATTTTTATATACTACTATGCATGCTGATATGACCCTATGTTAATAATGTCCATGTTTCATTGAATTTATAGATGATGTTTGTCTTGTGTTGAATATGGTCTTGTGTTAATGAATATGTGATCACTGGCTTATAATTGTTCCTTATGGTGCATGAAAGATTTTAAAATTTATTTAGCATGACTTTGAACAACATGTCCCTTTAAGCATGATTTCAAACATTATTTGTGCATATATTTCCATACTTAGTACAAGTAGATGTACTCACCCATTTCCTATATATTTATACAACAATGTAGGTTCGGGCCGTTTAAGTTAGGTCATTTGCAAGACTACTTGGATATTCCTCAAGTGTTCGGTAGGTCCTCACCATCCAAGGAATATACCACTACCTAGCTACTTTTTATCATCTAAAGTCATTTAGTTTCCTTCTCTTCATTTGAAGACTTGACTTTTGTTTTAAAGAAGTATGGGCTATGCCCGAATGTTCTCCTCATTCTATATGGTTTAAATGTGAGATGATATATTAGACTAAATTCATATAATTTAAATATGTTGTATAAACGAGAATCCTATGTATGCTTCCTATGCGAGGAGTCTAAGTAAATTCTGTATGTATATATGTTTAGTAAGCGAGAGGTCTATAAAAACCTCAATATGTAAGAAATTTTTAATTTTTAATGCATTTTAACATATGAAGTGTTTCACGAATGCTAATAGGCTAGTCTTAGTCCTCTCCGAGGATGATAACACCGATTGCATCTAGGGGGTGCTCCCTGGTCGTGATAGGAGCAAATAGGCTCTCCCATGTTTGGCTTGATTTTATGTTGCAAGGATGCTTTATCATGATAACTTGACTTGATTTGTCCAAGGCTTTCGGGGAAAGCCCTATACACTTCTAATGGTAACTTGATTTGCATGCAAGGTGCATTTCATGGAATAGCTGATATTGGTTTCTCGTGGTATCTTAAGGTTGAGGATTCATTCTTCCCTATGGATTAGCTTGCATCTACATGATTGGTTGCATGGTGGTTAGGTTGGTACTATTGTATCCTTTATTTGTTATCTTGGTTTGTATGGTCTGATGCTTTACATGGTATTCGGTCTATTATGTTAAGATGTTAAGTTTAATAGAAAAGAACAAAAGATAAGTTAGCTTGGAGTAGGATATTTTAAAGAAGTACTTAGTATGCATGGTAGTATGGGATGTCATTCATACATGGTACAAGTATGAACTTAAGCTACCTATGGCATGACCCCTGCATGATGTATGCTTAGCTTGGGTAATGACTATAGTTGCTCCCGGTGACATGATTGACTTAAGATGGTTGTTCCTTGTCAATATGAAGTAGGTCTTCTAGTGACATCTAAAGTTGATGACACGGAATAGGGTGACTCAAGATATGCTTAGTGTTTGAGGTAGAATGGGATTCCTCACATGCATTACACAAGTGTAATTTGAGGTGATCTATGGGAATAGTGGTCATATGTTATGAACAACTTAGGTCTTAATTATGAGAGTGTATTATGATCAAGAATGACCAAAGAGTGACACTAAACTCTGGTAGTAGTATGGGATGCTACCCTGACATTGCACAAGTAAACTTGGGGTGGCTTGTTAAGTAGTTCACTTGAGTAAGAAAGACAAATGATTTAAGTATGAACTATTGTATGCTTTATGATGATTTATTATTCTTATGATATCGATGTTATGCTTATGCTTTTATCACTTCTGATTATGTCCTTTTTTGACTAACCCTTTGAGATATCTTATGTTTGGTAATATAGTTCTCATACATGGTACATTTGTACTAACGCATATTTTGTCTACATTCTTATCAAATGTTGGGTGTTGAGAAGATTGACTTACTTTGAAGGGTAGAGTTTCCAATGCTTTCAAGATGTGATGATTGTTGAGTCCTCATAGCATCTGACGGCATCACCGTATGTTGTCTTTTATGTTCTTTACTATGTTTAGTCTTTTATGGGTTGTGACCCAAAAAATTTGTACTCGTGTTTTGATAGATGGTTTTTAAGACATACGTTAGAAAGGATTCCGTTTTATGAAATTATTCTGCATCTTTATGTTTTTTGGTAAACATTTTAATTCCGTTCTACTTTTCATATATATGCAATGAAAGTTGTCTAGGGGATTGTACAAGACCTCCGAGAGGTGAAGTACGCCAATGAAATTTAGCAATGCAGGTAAAATTTGATGCTCTTGTTAGCAACCATACTTCAGATTGGTTCCATGTGACTCTTCCAAAAACATGGTTGATTGGAAGTGGTTATTCTCAATTAAACATAAACATGAGGTCCTATTGATAGGTGCAAGGCTTGTTTGGTTGCCATGGAATTTACACACCACCCCAAACTTTATCATCATTCCCCTTTCAATCTAGTAGTCAAGCAGGCTATTATCCGTCTCATAATAACTACCGCCATTCAACTTCATTGGCATGTCCATTATCTGGATGTTAACAATTCCTTCTTGCAGGGTATTCTAACTAAAGAAGTTTACAAGCGACACCCAATGGGATTTGAAAACTCTGGGCGTCCTATGCATGTATGTTGTCTTCAAAAGGCAATTTATCGCCTTAAATAGTCTCTTAGTGCTTGGTACTCCAAACTAAAAAAATATCTCCTTACTTTAGGTTTTGTTAAGTCGCACTCTAATTCGTCACTCTTCATTATGCATAAATCTAGGCTTATTATGTATATTTTAGCTTATGTGGATGATATCTTAGTGATATGCAATCACAAATGAGGTGTTCATTCTATCACTAAGGGTCTTTGTCAACGTTTTTCACTGAAAGACTTAGGACCTTGTCATTACTTTCTTGGAATTTAGGTGATTCGTTTTTCTGCTGGTCTTATGATCTCTCAAGAGAAGTACATTATGGATCTCCTTCATGAGGTAGTTATGTATAACTGCAAAGGTACTTCCACACCTATGAAATATATTATATTTTTTGATTCATCGTGTGATGATCATCTTGTTGATGGTTCCTTATGTCGGCGCAATATTGGAAAGCTTTATTACTTTTCATTCATGCGTTCATACATAACTTTTGCTATCACCATATTGTTCCAAGCTATGCATCAACATTTATGCCTCATTGTGTTGCTCTTATAGGACTTGTTGCGCTATCTCCATTTAACTACCTCTATTTGTGTGCTCATTGCCAATGAAATTGATCGTAGGTAGCTCGCATACTTTGACTCAAACTGGCTAAAGGATCCTCCTGATCGAACATTGATAACTTTTTCTGTTATCTATCTTGGTAGTTTTCCTATTTCATGGTCTTTAAGGAAGTAGAGTTCAGTTTCTTGTTCTTCTATAGACGTAGAATATCGCTCAGTTGCTGCTACTATTTCTGAAACTCACTGGCTCACTTATATTCTTCAAGAACATCAGTTTCCTCTAATTATTGTGCCAAGAGTTCTTTGTGACAATATCAGCACCACTTATATTTGTGCGGATCCTATTTTCCTTAGCCGCATGAATCATGTGGATATGACTTCCTTAGCCGCATGAAGCATGAGGACAAACGTTTGTTATTGGTGTAGAATTATGTACAATCACGGGCAATGAAATATTTTCCCTTACCTCATTAAATTTCCACCCTTTGTCCTTCAACATTCAAACTAACTTCACCATTCTCAATAAATTTTGCATTACCCATTCAGTAATTCTTGAACTATGATTGGGATAGTAAACTTTATACCCTTTAGTTTTTTCTAGATACCCAATAAATTCACCATTCGAGAATCTAATTTTTTCATGTGGATTATAAACCCTAGATTCCATTTGACTACCCAAACATGCAAGTGCCATAATCTAGGCTTCCTTCTGATCCATAGTTCAAAATGGGTCTTTGAAACGCCCTTACTAGGAATACTATTTAAAAATGTACAACGGTTTTAACATCATACATCCACAATGATCTGGGTAATATGAACTTAGTCATCATACTTCTAACAATATCCATAAGTGTTTGATTACTCCTTTTTGCAACATTATTTTGTTGAGGTGTTGCTGTTATAGTATATTGTGCACATATGTCATGCTTTTCTAGCAATTTTCAAATAGACTTGCACATAGTCCTGATTCGTTATACATTCCATGATATTCATCAACTCCATCTGACCTAATGACTTTCACTTTCTTATCTAATTGTCTTTCAACCTTTTTAACGTACACTTTTAGAGAGTCCGCTGCTTGAGATTTTATCTTTCAATAAATAGATAAATCCATCACATGAAAATTTATCGATAAAGGTCATAAAATATTTTTCTACACCAAAAAATGGAACATCAAGAGTCTACAAATATAATTGTGTATAATTTTGAGAAGTTAGAGCTCTTTGTGCAGCCTTTCATGGTATTCTTGGTCTCTTTTCCATTAATCCCATCCAAACATATATCGAGATTAAAAAAAATCAGATTTGAAAGAATTTCATTCTTCAGTGATCTTTTTAATCTTTCTATGGATATATGACCCAAACGTTTATGCCATAAATTAGCAGAACCTTAATTTAGTGAAAGTGTCATTCTTTTCTAAAAAAAATGACACACATCGGCCTTGAGTTCCTTATGAGCATAATGTGGAACTTTAGGAGGTGCTTTCTTTTTCTTAAACTCGTTAGCCTTCACTTTAAGTCATTTACCAGCTCCTTGAACCATTAGGTTAATGGAATAATCTTCTTGTTTCTTAAGTCTTGACTCATTTTGAATAAGCATACCGGACAATTCACTAACATTCCACTTATTCTTTTAGTGTTATAATTAATTTTCAATAGTCCATACCGAAGAGCCAATGAGTTCAAAATAAACGGAACCAAGAAGTTATCATTCACTTTCATTCCCAAGGTTTGAATTCTTGTTGAAATGTTAGTCATCTCGATGATATGATTATGCATACTACACGACCCATCAAAAGTGTACTAGCGAGACCCTTATCAGCAGAATGAAAATGTTCTTCCACAAAATTCTTGTATTCCCTTATACTTTTTGTTTGTTGAATAGTACTCTTAATGTAGTTAGTAATAGTCATTCGAATAAACATAAGACTTAAACTTTTAGAGCACTACCGTGATTTATTAAAAGTCTTCTCATTCACTACTTTTATCAGTAATGGCAGTAGGTTTTCCATTCAACAGAGCAAGTCAAGATCCACACCTAAGTAGAATTGTAATTTTTTAGGATATTTAAGGAAATTCAATCCACTGAACACACCAACAAATGAACCATGTTAGTGTAGAGGAATAACTGCAAGAAAGATATACATACACACAAATATATCATAATTCTCTTGTGGGTTGGATATATACTACAACAGAAATCATAATTTAAATACCAACTTTTTCTTTAATAGGTAATTAAATATTTTTAATCAAACATATACGACATCTATGGATATAATATATATGTTTGACTAAAAAGATTAATTTACCTCATAATTTTCACTATTCGTAGAATGATAGATTCACGTTGTAAAATGATAATTTCTAGCAATAGTTAGTGAAACTCAATTTATATATTTATTTCAATTAGACATTTAAATAACTTTCATAAATAAATGATAATTTTATGAATGCATATTTTTCTTAACCATACTAGTTTGACCACGTTTGTTACTTACAAACTATATAAATACAAAAGAAAACATAATATCATTAAATTTTGTGCATGTGAATAAAATTATACATTTTAGTCTGGTCACTTTTGTGACTAACAAACTATAGAAACATAATGGATACAACAATTGATCATAGATATGATATGTGTAGACTTTAATTTACCTAGTTTAACCAATTTGGTGAGTAACAAACTATAGAAATACAAATTCATTCATAATATCACAAATTTTTGTGCTGTGAAATTTTTTATACATTTTAGTTTGACTACTTTGATGACTAAAAAACTATAGAAACATAATAAATGCATCAGGTTGAAAACCCATACCCAGTCTCTTTTTGAATACTGATTTGCCAATAAATAATGAATAGTACAATCCACATATGTCAAGTGATCATAAATATTATATGTGTAGACGTTCATTTCTCTAGTTTGGCCACTTTCGTGACAATCAAACTAAATTGAAATAACTATACACATATTATTTATTTATTAATATAACGACCACTTTAATTTATTTTAAAATCTAAAATAAAACGTATTTCTATATTATGAGACGATTAAAATTTTCTAGAATTTGTTAATTTACGAGTTCAAACACCTTAAATGGTCAACCAAAGAATTATACTAATAAAAAGAATTGAATTATAAATTTAAACATAATGTGACCGGAAAAAATTAATCTTACAAGAGTGTATTTATTTATTTATTTTTCCATTAAACTTAAAGTGTTTCCGTGTGATGAATAAAATATTAGCGTGTAAAATTACTAAAAATAGCTGATAATAATCGTTCAAAAAAATTCTTCAAGCTTTTTTAAATAATTAATCATAAAAAAATAAGTGATGGACAGTTAGTCTTAAGCACCACATACTTAGATAGAAGTTACTTACAATTTAGTTCCAAATTAACTAAGAAAGAATAGGTAATAGACACCCCAGTGAACAACCTTATTAGGAATGACATTCCATGTTAGAATAAACCTTAACCAGTTGAAACAGCGGATTTTGAGGGGTGTACTTACATAAAGAATTTTCAATTGTAAAAATAAGAGGTCATAAAAAATCTGTTTCATATATTTAGAGGCATAATCAACGCTAACTAACATTTTTATTAAGATTATGGGTTCAAAAAATCCAAACTCTGATAAAACATGTAAGATTAAATACTTTAATACATAATATCAGGATCTTGAACACAATAATCGTGCATAGAGATTGCAAAGGGAAAAACCTGATGTGGAAGACATCATCACAGAGAGAAATAGAAACATTAGTCGTAAATTAGTTTCAATCTCCTTGCCCTAACATTACGTTTCCACAACCGTCCGTGTTGGTATTATTGTGGAAAATATGTGATAGCCCTAAAGCGTCGAGGGAGGAGAGTTTTATAGAAGTTATGGCTTAATCTGGAACGTCCGTCAAATAAATTATCGATTGCTTGATGGACATACCATATTATGTAATAAACTCTATAAATATGTCTTCCCACCACAGATTAGGGTTATAACATATTTTCAACAATAATTCCATTCTTGAAGGTTGTGGTAATGCAAAATTAGGAAAAAGAAGTAGAAACCAATTTATAACTAATGATTCCACTTCTCCATGTGATGATGTCTTCAACATCAAATATGTGCCCTTAACAATCACAATGTAAGATTATCATGCTCAAGTTTCTATTATTATGTGTTAAAGTATTAAATCTTACATGATGGTCTACTTTGTCCACAATCGATTTATGCGTGAACGAGTCCATCTTGTCGATGTCTTAAAGGTAAATCACTGGAAAAATGAAGTTGTAGAGCATTCTCGGAATTTTGAACCTTCTAAATATTATCATATGTGTGAAGAATACTAAAAATAATTTAAAGTAATATTTTAATATAAATAGAGAAAAGATGAAAATCATTAAAACATAAAGTAACAATATTTAGATTCAGTTTTTATTCCCAGCGATTTTTTCGTCGTTGCGGCAACCAAATGGTTTGGATGGATGAAGACGTTTTATAAGATAATACTACAGTTAATTTCACTCCTTGTTAATGAATATTTTGTCAAACAATTAACAAATTTTAATATAAAATCTCATTTAAAGGTAATTTTAGCCATGTAGAGTGAAGGTTGAACATCATTTAAAGTTGGTTGCCATCATCAGAGTCTAGTTGATGGCCTAAGAAGCACCATTATAACTATAATTATAAATCTCTTACACGCACACACATACAAGGAGTAAAAGAACATTTCAAGTGAAGATTAAAGATTATTTAAGATTGGAGTTTGATGAAATACCTGTCCGAACATCATGTGTGGTTCCCTATTCTCTTTGTGTGTGTTATTGACCGACCAACCATGAACACTAACACAAACTTAAAGTAAGTAAATATTAATTTGTATTGGATGTAAAAGAGCCTTTGAAAGGGAAAAACCTCAAATCCAAATTAAAAGGTAATTAATATACACGCTGATTTGCATATTTGATGGTTTTTCTATAACTAGATGAAATGTCAAAAAATCACAATCAAGAAATCGATCAATTCCTGATTCTTCATGTCACAACTCAAGACTATATCATGGACGTTGATCACATTCGAGAACCGTTGTCGGTTGCCAAGAGAATCCTCATCTTGACTAACTACAATCGAAAGAATAACTTAAGCATATATAAGGATCAAATTGAAATAAATTCTAAATAAAAAATGTATCAAATCTCAAAACTCTTTTAATATACCGAGTATTAAACATAAGTTTTAAAGAAAACTTCTAAAACTGGAAGCTCTCCAAAACTCTTCATCTATAAAGATCTATTGTACAAGTGGATCTACTTATACCTTGTCCGGGCATAGAACAACTAAATTAAGTTGCTCCCCTAAGATCTGCCGGAAGGCATTTCAGATTTATATAAAAAAATTTATCCTGTACCCATGTTGGCATACATTGTTTATGAGGAATTTTATTTGTCTGGACTCATCCCATATCATTGCTTGATACTACTCCCAATACTATGTACTCATGCTCAATGCATAAAAACGTACTCTGCCTATTAGCTCAAACTATCCTTTTAAAAGAGGTAACTTCTCTAAATATCTTTGAACTCATAAACTATTTTTCTAAAATCAAAGTTTCTCTTTTTCTCAATGTAAAAACTTATACTTTATAGGAATACTTGTTTCCATAATACTCTTACTCAATTCATACTTGAAAACTCTTTCTAAAAAATAAATCAAAATCATATCTTGATATAATCATTGATGACTCTGGATGTCATATTGCATAAACATTGATGACATATTTAGATACCATAATGTTTAAACATTGAGGACATACTATTCATATTTTTAAAAACCCTTTCTCAAAACTCAATTGTACTTCCTCAAAAGCTCATTCTAAAATAAAAAATTTACTTTGAATGATTCACATAAATTATAACTAAAAATAGGGTCTGTGTTGAAATATAGACATGGACAAATAAAACTCAATGATCCCAATAACAATTTAGAAAACTCAATACTATCACGATTCAAATCACATTGATGCTACTCATCTAAAGAATACTCAATTAATGGGGTTCATGCTGGACTATAAACAAGAAAATGCTTCAAAAACTCCATTCCAAACTTACAAAATAGAGAAGAAAGTGAAATGGAAGAAATGGAGCGGATTTGGCCATTATTGAATAACTTACCCGAAGTTAACTATGTTCACCATTAGCAAAATTATCTCCCTAACGCATTAAAGTCTAGAAACGGACCCTCGAGATTAATTTGAGACTAGATAAAAGTAAACTAAATATGCTACCCTACTAACTGCGATAATTGAACTCAATGGAATCAGTGGATTTATGCAATAAGATTTTTTTGACAAATATACCCTCATAAACTTCTCCTTAAGACTTAAGCTCAACTTCTCGCCTAAACACCAAACTCTCAACGCAAATCCTCCCAAACCTTACCAACCACTCTACTTGTTCAAGTTTGACGTTCCGGATACGATGAAACTAATAGAATTCCTACCTAATGTGCAAAACTCAACATTTTGACCAAACTCAACCTATAAAGAATTCTCAACTAAACAAGAGTCAGATTTATAAAAACACAATTGATTGCATTGGGAACTTCACCAACCATCCTCAAAATAGAAAGTAAGCATGAAATTCTACAAGGAAGGGAATAATGGTCATTTCAGAATTAAAAACAAAAATCCCAAAAAATGAGACATTACAAGTCGATCTCTTATTAATTATGGATCCATTATAGTCTGCATCTATAGATTATCCAACACGGGCATCATTGTGATAGCCATACAATATGTCAAGTCCAAGAGCCCCCTCAAAGTAACAAAATTTTGTGTCAAGGCTTCCCATTGTTTGATCATAGGAACAAACATGATTGTCTAACAACACTGACAACAAAAGCAATATCTTGATGAGTCACAATAAGGTAGTTTAATTTTTCAACAAACCTTTTATATTTCTCAGGATCATTAAAAGGAACACTATCATCTTTTGTAGGATGCATGTTGGCAACCATCGGAGTGCTTCAAGCTTTGGCTTCCAACTTTTGTATGTCTACAAGTAGGTCAAGAATAGAGACATAAAGAGTTCCTTTCTTGCTTCTATTAACTTCTACTCCCAAAATGTATCGTATGTGTCCTAAGTCATTCTTATGAAATTTAGCATATAGGAAAGAATTTGTATAATCGTGTAACAACTAAGATTTGGAAAAGAAGGAAAACATATTTTAAGATTTCAGGTTGAGTCTACAGCTCCCATCTATGGATCGTAGATATTCTACGTGTCATAGATGGCAATACTAGGAATGGGGAAATAAATTTTTGAAATCAAGTCTCAGTAAACTTTTTACGGTTCACCTGGGTGGCCCGTCATTCCTTGTACGAATCCTAGATAAGTTTCCCATGTGAGGCTTAGACATAGTTAAATTTAACGGGTCAAATTGGGATTTTCTACGGTTTTTTTTCTATGGAGCATAGAAAGATCTATGAGACATAGAAATAATCCATTAAAAATTATAATGAAATTACGGTCTCACAACTTAGTCTATGATTTTCATTCACCGAGTTTCATATCCGTGGAGCACCACCTTGAAAAAACATAGCATACTTGATCTCTTAGAGGTCATATACATGCTCATAGTTATCATTCATCGCATTGTTATAGGTAAATTAAGCGGCAAATATAAAACTTTCTTAGCACATCATATGCTACAACATTACTTTCAATATATAAGAAATATCATAATACATAATTAAAGACTGTAATCTCTTTTTTCCATCCAATGCTCAACATCATAGGAGTACTTTAGGAACACGACCCTTATAACATAATACACAAGTAAACTTTTACACTTTAGAACTTTACTGTAGAGACATGACTTAGGATTCCTTGGACTTAAGTATTCCTTTCCTTGAGCTTGGGAATCACATATCAAGCTCCTCAATCATATTTGATCAGTTTATGGAAGTTTCTATGTGTAGTAAATCCTGAAAAAGAAAAAACGAAGATCTTGATTTGATCAAGTATAGTTGAGGGCTGGTGATAGAGACATACTTTAGACATCTATAACCTAAACTTTGTGTAAAAAGTAGATAAGAACGGAGTTAGTACAAGAATGCATTATGTATAGCAACCATGCAAAAATATGCATTTGAAAGGAACATTTTCTAGAAATCATACGTCATGACTTTTTGAGAAAATCTTCATTGAAACCTTTATATAATAGCATTAATATCATTTACAAACTCCATATACACAGATTCAGAGGCCAAAAAACATATCAAATCACACATAGAATTAATGTTCCGTCCCGGTCCGGAAGTAAACCGGTAGTATACCCGACCGGTAACGGGACGAACCGGTATTTAAATATTTTTTTTAATTGAATCTAATTTTTATTATAATAATTAAGCAATTTAAAAATTTAAATTTCAAACTTTAAAGTTATAAATTTAAATTTTCAAACTTTAAAGTTTGAAAATTTTAAATTCAAATTTTAAAGTTAAATTTAAATTTCAAACATTAAAGTTATAAACTTTAAAGTTTTAATTTAAAATTTTCAAAATTTCAAAGTTTCAAATTTAAATTTTCAAACTTGAAATTCAAACTTTTAAATTTGAAAATTTTAAATTCAAATTTTAAAGTTATAAAATTTAAATTTCAAAGTCTTAAAGTTTGAAATTTTTGAATTTAAACTTTAAAGTTATAAAATTTAAAATTGACTATATCAAAAATTAAATTTAATATAACAATATTAAAAAACAAATTAAGGCGAATAACCTATATTTTTATTAATATATATTTGATATTACAATTACATTTACAAAAATATTAGTTTGAGTTAAATCTCGAATTATCATACTTCTACTAATAGTTGGTGCCACCATATAAATCCCTTCGTAAATCATTCAACATTTTATTAGTAACATGTTCGGGAATAGGTTGAATAGAAAGATCTTCCATTGCTTCAATCCCGTTGTCACTATAATCCTGCATTACTTCATCAACGTCATCTTGAAATTTGGTCGGTAGTGGTTCACGACCAAAATTTCTTCTCTCGACATTAATCCAATCTCAAAATAATACCGATATCTCCAAGCTGTCGGCTGCTAGTTAATGCCTATGTTCTCCAAGTTGGAACCTTGTTGCACTAAAGACGCCTTCTGACCAAATTTTAAAAATCTTTACGCCGAGACTTAACTTGACATTTAAATATAAAATGACATGCATTTTCAACTTTCGTACATCTGTTATCATACATATTTACACCATCTCTAACCATCAAATTATATATATGTGCAGTACACCTAATATGATAATTATCACCATAGAAAGGACAAAGTGTAGTTTTTAAATATTGAACAGCAGAATTATTACTTGAAGCATTATCTAAGGTTATACTACTTATTTTATCACATATTCCATAACTTTGTAAAATATCTAAAATAGTTTGAGCAATATAACTACCGGTTTTTTGCATTTGACAACATTTATAACCTAAAATTCTTTTTTACATATACCAATTTTCATCAATCCAATGTGCAGTAACAGTCAAATAATCGTTACTATTTACACTACGACCCATATCAGAAGTAATAGCTATTTTACAAGTATTATAATAAAATAAACAACGAAGATATTGAAAATGTTGTGCATGATAATCAAATACAGCCTTTTTTATTGTATTTCTAGCAAAACCTTTAAAATTTAAATTATATACAATTTGAATATAATGTATAAAACCGGGATTTTCAGCAAAACTAAATGGCAAACCCATAACACATATCATTTTAGCTAGTTCTTCAAGATTTTTTTTTCTACTATATGAAGATAGTAAACTAGAGCCAGAAACATTAGACGGATTTAATTGTGTTTGTACCATTTTAGAGCCGCCTACTCCTACATTTTCAGGAAGGGGGTACCGTTGTTTTTAGCTTCCGCTACCGCTTTAGCCTACCAAAATTCATTTTTACAACAAGACATTAAATGACTACTCAAATGTCCCGTCCCGCCAGATTTGCCCACAGTTTTATGATTTAATATATGTTTACATTTATTACAAATAGCTTGTGTTTTATCTTTGTTTTGTGTCATAAATTGTCAAACAAACGATTTTTTAACACGTTCTACCTTAGGCCTAGGATGTACTGGGAGAACTGGGGCAGGACAACGAAAGGGAGCGGGACTAGGAGTAGTAGTAGCCGTAGGTGGCTGAGTTTCATCATCATCATCATCAAAAGTAGGTGTATCAGTATAATTATCAATACCATTATCATTATCACTACGAAAATCCTCATCAAAATTACCAAAGCGACGTTGTAAATGTTCATGATAAGTATCTAATCCTGAATTACTATCAATATTAAAAACCGTATCGTCAACATGTGTATAATCATCCGTATTTATTCTTAATATAGTAGATTTTTTAGTTTTTAATTTAGAAGAACTACCGGTTTTTGCATTATCGGAGGATGTAAAGTTACAAATATTTCTTCCACGCTCTAATGCACTTTTTCCCCCCTTTCCTTTTTGAACAATATTTTTACCGAAATCCATATTAAAAAATTAAAGGTGAGATTAAATATTATACGAAAAATGTTATGCAATTATGCAAATAATAAATAAAAAATAAATAAATAATTATTTAAATATAAATGAAACGTAAAATAAAAGTTAGAACGAATGTACCGAACGTCTACTTAAAAAATTAGACATTTATGACCGCCGAAAGCCGAACGTGGAAAGTTGAAAATGGAATTTTGAAGCTCCAAATCTTATTTCCAAAGACAAAGTAAGGCAACACCTGAATTTAAGATATTATATATTATAGAATTAGAGATTAGAGATAGAGAGTAGAGAGCTGAGAGAGTAGAAGATGAATAGATGATATTGTGATTTAAAAGAATGAAATTTAGGGGTATTTATAAGTTAAAAAATGGGTTAAAGTGTAATTTTTAAAACTTTAGGGTATTAAAAAAGTTAGGGGTGGGGTAGGGGCCCTATTGGATAAATTTCTCTTCAACTAGTCATTGGGGGGACCACTAGCTGTTACCCAACGGCTAGTAACGACTATATTATAAAAAAAAATTTTAACCGGACCGGACCGGACCGGTAATTACCGGAACCGGTAAATTTTGGAATTTACCTAATTCCGTCCCGGTTCCTGTTCCAGAACCAGAAATTTCCAGTCCTAACCGGTACTAAACCGGTACCGAACAGGACCAGGATGGACCGGACCGAAAACCGGTAGGTACCGGTTCTGCTGCCACACATATGTTTAGAGTAAGCTATTTCCACTTCACAATAACTAATTCCCTTTTACAGTGAACATCTTTTTCTTTAACTCATTAACCTCCCAAGTAACCATCTAATGACACTTTGTGCAATACATCACCTTAAGGACAAAAGGAACCATTCATACATCCTACATAATCCATCACATACCATCATAGAAGTATAGTAGAAACTAGACATGTTTAAGTCAAAACCATATAGATTTTATAGTGAACGATAGTTTACTTGAACAGATTTTCACTACACTTCAAATAAGAGCCTTATAAGACCTTATTCAAAATTCCAGTCTAAGTCTACTAGTGCAATGTACATGTGAAGCCCTATAACCTCACACATACTTACGAAACATATCATGAGACCACAAGCTTAAACATCCAATTCATACATCAACATAGTAAGTAAGACACTTCATTCATGTCAAGAAAGATATTTATCATATAGTCATTAAGACCAACATTGTTCATATAAGGGAAACACCAACTCATTTTGATCCATTATAACTCATACCATGCACTTCATCACAACAACTAGACAATTACTATAAAGTCATGCATAAGGAACATATAAATAGACACATGCATTAGAACACCTTCCAATGACATGCCTCTAGAGCCACTTGTGCAATGAAAAAGTGAAGTATCAAACCCCCTACCTACACTAAGCAACTATCTTTAGGTATCCTAGTTAGGGTCCTTAATTTACTTCCATTGTACATTTTATTGTAGAGAAGCTATAGCCTTAACCGACACTAAGACCATGCGTGCTACATGGAATTTTTATTGTAGATCCTTACACCAAGGGAACGTGTTCTTACCTAGACAAAATGGAACATTAACACATGCTAGCATACAAGTG